ACACACACACACACACAATTCCAGGGCCAAACAAAGTTAGGACTGACGGAGGAAGTAATGGTATTAAGTCTGACAGAAGAAGGGAGGATGGAGGAGAGATTTCAGTTTAACAAGGCTGATTGGAGGTAAGGAATGTTCCATGAAGTACATCAACAGCATTGTATGTCAAGGTACTATATGATGAGCCATAACATATATTCTCCACAACCCCTGCTGCCTTAGTCATACAAAATAGTACAGAGAGCCTCCAACCCTTTATGAAGTATTACAATGTTACTGTAAATAGGGCGCTTTTTATGATATTGAGCATGAGCAAATATCAAGAATGAGATATTCATGTGTATTTTCATTTCTTATTTTTTCTGCTTGTTTATTCTTTTAATTGTCTCATAACCCCCTCAGATATTTTTATTCTGCAACCCCTTTTAAGGACCAAACCATCAATTTATTTAGGAATCAATGTATTAAGCATCAGTTTCTTTGGGTCCAACTGACAGATCAGGCAGCAAATTCAATTTAAGATTGAGCTGGTGATAAGAGTCTGATAACAGTAAGGAGATGACCAAGATGAAAAGAAAATAACAAGGCGATGTCCAGAAATGGCACAAGAGTCAAAAAAGGCCGAAGTTACTGCCAAAACTTTCTGAAAGACACATTCTGTTAGTGACCTGCAACTGGTCTTAATAAACTTAATGGACCATCTACAATAAACTGCAGGTGAAAAGAGGCTACAGCTGAAAACAGTTGAACACATCAGGGGTTAACTGAGGTTTCTAACTTTGTGAGGACTGACAAAGAGAGAAATGGAGGGTGGGAAGCTGTAAGGATGGATTAGGCAGTGAAATGAAAGGAAGCAGGTGACTGGGGCACCCTGGGGTTGTCACAAGGTTGTGTGTGTGTGTGTGTGTGTGTGTGTTCGTGTGTGTGTGTGCGCATGTGTGTGACAATAACAAATACAGACAACTGAACTAGGTTGTTTGACTACATGTTCTGTTGACTGACTAAAAAGAAACATAAAGCCCTCTAATTTCAGTGTATGAGATTACGGCTATTAAATTCAAACTCAAACACACTAACAACAGTTGTGAACCTAAAGGCTGAGGTCGTAGCGATAATCAAATACGGTTTGATCAAATTGGGGATGTGAAAAGGGGAGGGAAAGGGAGGCATAGAGCCAGACGGACATTTAGATTGAAATATAATGTCGGAATTTATTCTGCACATGAAGCTTCTTAAATTAAATTGAGAGATTCAGAGACAGGGACTTTTCTCTCTCAGTGGCGGTTAGAGGCAGGGAGGCTAATCTTAATCCAAATCCCTTCCATTTGAATTTGCCTGTCAGATAGTGCGGATGGCCACTGAAAGCATTTTTATCAATTCTATTACTGAGCTGAAAATTTTTACTGAAACTGAATATACATTAAAGCATATAATATATTAATAATATAAGAAATAAACCTGACATTTGTAAATACTAATCACAAGTGCTCTTGCAGCCTTTGTCTGACTATAATTATCTAAACAAGAAAATGGAATGGTTTTATTTTTGGTATACACATTAAAAAAAAAACTTTTACTGCTGCCAATGTGTTTTAAGTTACCATTAAATTTTAAAAGGTAGACTTCACTAGAAGCAGTTGTTTTAGCTGAGGGGGATGTTGCACTCTTCCATAAGCTATAAACAGCACTGTATTTCTGTAGTATTACCAGCCGAATATTTAGGGATAATGGTGGTACAGTAATCCTCCTTTATTTTGAAATCTCATCGCAAAAATAAGTCAGTAAAAATGTCCCCGCATGGTTGCGCTGGTGCTTCGTTAACATAAAAAATATTGAATGTTTCCAATAAAGCTTGTACTGAATTGAAATAAAAGATAAGACAGATGGATGCAGAGCGAACAGAGTGATAATGGAAGGGCTAGAGGCTGACAGAGGGAGAAAGAGAGAGATATTTCTAGTAAATTCCTCTCGTCCATTAACCATCACTGTCAGCCTGCACAAAGCTGAACTCAGTCCCGTGAGGAAAGGAGGCAGGCAGCTCTCATCTGCCTGTGTGTGTGTGTGTGTGTGTGTGTTGAGGTGATGACCTCAGCAGCACTCAACTTAAAACAGCCTCTGATTGCATCTGTTGTCCTCTCTGTCTGCATTTTGGTCTCTGTTTTTTTCCCACCTCAGCCAACTGTCATCTACATTTTAGCAATGTTACAAAAACTAAAAGTGAATTAAGGGCATTTAAATCAGACCTGGTTTTGTCTGTCAATTTCTGATACAGTTTTAAGAGCTTGTGTTTTCTATATTTTCCTCATTTCAAGCCATGTAAAAAAAAATTCTCTGAGGAGCTACGTGGAAGTTTCACACTCAAGGCCAACTCATCATCAGTGTTTGAGATAACATTTGTTCTGACCCGATATGATTGGTGTTGCTTGTTAGTGGTGGAGAAGAAAATGCAGCCAAACAGTGTCTTCCTATTGTGCAACTGTTACTTTTGCAAGATGGAGCAAGGGAGGGAGGTGAGGAAGGAGGGAGAGTAAGCGAAAGAAACTAATCAGAGCGAAAACATAGTCATATGACTGGATCTCCTGCAGCTCATGCCAAACTTATTAATACAGTCAGTAAACAAGTATGGGGGGAGTGGCAGACAGAGCCGGATATAGGAGAATGGAGATTAGAGACTAAAGAAAAAAGACAAACAAGGCTGTTAGATAGAACACATAAATGTCACTCCACAGTCTACCATCATTCACAGCTGAGGCAATAAAAAGAAATAGTTTCACTCATCCTGCCACACCCACACTGTACAGGAAATGCAGACTTACACTAGTGACCCGCCGGTAGATCTGGGCAGCGTTTTGACATTCAGAGTAGGGGTACTCTGAGGTAGCCATCTCCAGCATGCACATCCCGAAGGCGTAGACGTCTACAGATTCATCGTACTTCTCCTCATACATCTCTGGAGCCATGAACTCCGGGGTTCCTGATGAAAAGGATAGGACAAACAAACTATTACCATGCGCTGGGAATTTCAATTTCTTCTAGTCTTAAAGACAGAGGTGTAAGACAATATAGAAAGATATCGTAATGCAATATTTTGTTTTGTTATTTTGTATCTAATCTCAAACACACAACAATCAATTTTTGTGTTTAAATCCCCAACAGCTAGATATCAGTGTTATAAACATATAATATATATATAGTGTTCAATTCAAATGCAGATCCTTCTGTGTGGTTGCATAAAAAAGGTAAACTTTATTTAAACTTAAATTTTATGCATGTTGGTGTGTTTTTCTAAAATTTGATTTTCAACCTCTCCTTATTTACAGTATTGCGATATATATCGCAATATATTAAACAGTAACCCATGTATCGTGATACGTATTGCCAGATTCTTGCAAATACTTGCTATGTAATTACGATTTTTTTTCTGAGAAACACTGTAAATCTGTAGTGTAATACTGCATATTATGATTGCTCCAGAAGCAACCAACATGTTGGCTGTTTTTTTTCAGTTGTGTGAATATATGTATACCTGCTCGGTGCATTTCTCACACAAACAATAACTGCCACTGATACTACATGTCTCATTTAATCTTGTAATCAAATCAAGCAACCCAATATACCTGTACACTATGAGGTTTAAACAACACCATAGCTAAAAGGCCCAGTTAGCTAAACAACAATTACTAAGATAATTACTAAAATCTTAAAAAATTCCCTTAACACAGCTGGAAATTTTAAAATGCACTGTTGTGTGTGTTTATGCACATTCATGCATATGTGTGTGTGTGTTTGTGGATTTCTGCAAGTGTCCAAATACTTGAGGTCTGTCTAAATTACTACAAAGCAGCTGTGAGATTTACAAAGCATACCATTCTTGCCTCAAGTGCATGAGAATATGTGCATTTGTGTATGTGTGTGAGAATATGTGTGAATACCAGAATAACTGTGGTCAACTGCCCTCTTTACTGCACTTTAATTTGTGTGTATTAAGTGTGTATTGAATGCAGGGTGTGTGTTTGGGGTGTATGTTTGATGCGTGTGGGCAGCCATCACATTTGCAGACAGCTTAATCCTAGCTTACTAGCGGACTGACTGGTGTACATTTCACTTTGCAAATACCTGCGGTTTGCTTTTACAACCCGACATTTTAGAAGCAGTAAAATTAATCTACAGTAGGCGTGCATAGTGGTGTAGAATGTTTGTGTTCACATCCTTGCTTATATGAGACAGCGTGTGTGGACGCGTGTGTGTAAAGTGGTTATTGTTATGGCAATATATGCACGCTCATAAATTATGTCAGTTGTGTCAATCTCTGCACCTTCACACAAGTCTAAACATTTCAAACTAACTTTACGTCTGACTGCAGACAAGTATGTGTTAATGCAAGAGATAAGGAATGTGTGTCTTCAGTGGCTGTGAACATGTATTTTCCTACCTATGACACTCTTAGCAAAGGAGGCCCTCTTTAATGTAGCCAAACCCAGGTCCCCTATCTTCACCGAGCCTGTGGGCCCCGTGATGAAGATGTTGTCACATTTCAAGTCCCTGTGAATGATGGGCGGGGCTCTGGTGTGCAGGAAGTGAAGGCCTTTGAGGATCTGTCTGCACCATGACCGCAGAACCTTGATTTTCATCACCTTGAAACGCTTCAGGTAGCTGCAGGACAACAACAAAGAATAATAATAATCACACATCATTCAACAAAGCAAGATAAGGTGTACAAAAATGCACAGAGAGCAGCAGGTTCCACCTTCAAGTGGCCCGTGTTTCCTCTTTGAAAATTACCATTTAAAAAAAAACACACAAAACAAAGCTGCCCTACTATGCATCTCATATAATACATACATACATAATTATTGCCAATGAGGGGAATTCAGATGACTCTTTGAAGTGTTCTGAATGTACTCCACTAATATTATTGCAGGACACTGAAAAACCATCCATAGGGGAATTCATTATTCCAAAGCAAGGCATGGAGAGTCAGATGATAGCCGGATAAGAGCAACAAAAACACGGATAATGCTTCAATTAAAGATGAAAGCTTACACAACCAAAGTGGATTACTGTCAGACAATTCCAGCTTAAAGAGATGCACCATAAATACTCACGCAAACATGAATGTGCGCACTCAAACACACACTGACAGACATTCTGGTGTCTGCATGAGAATAATAGTTGCAAAGTCAATGAACAGATGATACTGATGCTTTGTGTTTGTTCAGCAGAACTGAGAAAATGATTTAGATTGATATTTGTTCATTTATTTGACCTTATAAAAGGTTATTCTATTAAAGAGTGAGTCATTTAACTATTTTTTAGTCATTTTTACACCACATAAAGCAAAAATAATGTTACATTTTTAGTATGTTTTAATAAAACAACTGTAGCCATGCTAATGCACATCATCAGAGACTTTTTAGTGTGGCTTTAAGGTGGTGGAGTTGTCCATCATCTTTAAGATATGAGAGTCTGGAACCTAACCCAGCATACACTGTGTGGAAGCCCCTTGACAAGCTGCCAGGTCATCACTGAGCTAACACACATCCACACCTGTGGGTGCTCTGGAGTCTGTAGTCCACCTGGTTTATATGTCTTTGGAATGTGGGCGGACACACAACAGGATTACAGGGACACCAGGACAGGAATCTTACTGTTTTATTCCAATTAGCTGCACAACAGTATGTCCAGATTGCACATCTCTTTCACTTTCAGTCAAATAACGTCTATATGTTTAATATCTATTTAATTAGATGCAATTATTCAATGAAAAGGCTTCTGTCAAAATGAGTCTTCATGAGCTTTGAGAACTCATTCAAATTTAATTTGACTGTCTCTTAATTACTTGATTTAAAATCAATGTTTGAATTCCAAGCAGTGTTTCTCATTTTCTATTATCAGCTGGGGACACTGTCTGCCTGTCTCTCCTCAGCTCTTAGTTAAATTAAAGTACAGAGTGAAGAATGTCATGTCAATCGTTCTACAACTCAATCTTTTGGGAGTTTTTCAATTGTGATAGTACTTTCACTGTTTAACTTTAACTGCATCGCAGGAGGCAGAATAATCTGATCTGAGCTAAGTTATTTGTTGAAGCACTTCATAAGGCTCAAACTGATCTCGTCCTTGATCTATTTACTGCAATTAATTCAATGTCCAAGCTCAAATTTAATCTTCCCATGGTCCTGGTGAATAACTGGCAGCTGACTGAACTGCACAGTGACCCTACAAAGAATACTGTCATCTCCACCGGTGGAGCATCAGTGAGTCCGGCTCCAGCATCACTGGCAGCTCCACTTACGCAGAGTGTAAACAGCTGCTCTAACAATGCAGCAAGAAAGGGGAAATTGTCAGCTATATATATAAAAAAATATAAAAATAGAAAGTAATGCCCAGCACCCATCATGTTGTTAGAAAACGTTGTATTGTATTTATATCACAAGGTATGGGCTGGGTCCAGACGCAGGCCGAGGTCCGGGGTTTGAGCAACTCTGTACTACAGCATACCTAAAAGTATGTTCTTCTAATGTTTAGTAAAACTCTGTAACTCTTTAAATGATGATCGTATCTTACATGGGTTCTCACTATTTCTATAGAAGTTACACAGAAGAATTCAATTAGACCAAAATATCTGGGTGGGTTCACATATTTTCATAGAGAGTTTGCCTTAAAGGCACAGAACACATTAACAGACTGAAAATAATCTTTTGGGGGCCTCTTATGTAAATATACCCCAAAATGCACATCTATAGAACAAAAACACCTTTCAAAGCCTCTCCCTCCTCCTCACATCCACCCGTATCCTATCCCATCACACTCAAACTCTCTCTACTCTTTCTACTTTACATGTATCTCTTCCCCCGTCTGTACCTTCATTCCCTTTACCTACCCACCCTTCTCTCTCTCTCTCGTCTGTCTCCTCCACTTCCTTTACCTCCCTTTTCTGAAGTCAGAACAGTGTTGACAGAAACGTTAAACCCTTTGGCATGCAGTGCTGGAGTGACACTGCACAAAGCATCTCTTCCACACATACACAATCACTCAACCATGCTCTCTTTTCAAGACACATAGAGAAATATGCAGATATATATGTATGTACAGTACATATAGAGTACACATGCATAGATGAACAGATTCACATTCATACCAGACAGACATGTACAATAGCAGCAGCACAAACACATGCCTCTCTGGCTCTTTCTCTGTTTCTCACACACAGACATACACACGGACAGGGACAGACATAGATAAGGGGCCTCTAATACCCTGAACCCTCTCTGGTCAGTATTTCCATCCTCACCATCTCCCCCTTCCCTATCAGTCCTCCCCTCTCATCATCTCTCTTTCTTTTTCCACCACCTCAGCGTACAACAGTCCCTTCTCCTTTCTGAGTCTCCATTTGGATGACGGCCAAATGCCTGTGCAGCCGTTAATCCTGTTCATATATGTACATGAATGCAGTACACATAACTTAAAAAACATACATGTATGCAAGAAAAATTAAATCCCAGCATATATTATATAGAGCTTAAAAGAGTTGATTAATTTATTAGTTAACTGAAAGAAGATTTTCTTAAGGCAAAAATGCCCAAAAAAGTTTGGTTTTCTTATGTTATTCAACTAAATGTTTAATTGGAACTTTAGTAGGGCAAGACAAGATGAAGACAGTATAATATTCCCCCATTATCATACTTTGAGGCACACTTGCCCTGCTTAACATTAGCTTTTGCATTCTGGTGACTTGTTTTGTCCAAGGTCTCATATCTGAATATTTAAATCCCTCTAGTATAATTCCTAGAAACCTTTTAATAATACATATTTCCTGCTTTCCCCTTCTTTAGACTTACTTCCTCTAACTGTTATGATTGAAACATGCTGGAAAGACACAGGATGGAGAGAGTCAGATCAGCCTCTGCATTTGTTAACTGATTTATGAAGCTTTTTCAGTCCAGTGGAGGGCGCTACTGTCCTTGGTAGTACTGTGCTGCTGGATTAATACTGGTCACAGGTGGTTCATTGGTTTGGTGGTATATCTGACCTCCCGTCTGTCTGCCCCCCCCCCCCC